CTACTTCGTCCACTATGGTAGAAAGGTAGCTATTTGCTAGCGTGTAGAATGGGAATTCGTTGCGATGGAAGAACCGAATGACTTCACGAAGGAGCAGCCGCACCGGTTTACAGTACTCCTCACGTGCCATGATCATCTCGGAAATCTCTTCGCCAAGAACCTAGAAATGTACGATTTCGATGAGCAGGTAAAATTATGGTTACAACAGTGTGCGATCTTGTTGATGCAGTGGTGAAGCTGGAGACAACAAAAAGGAATGGGGGCTGTTTGGCGGGGGGGGGAGGCATTTTGCACTTTGACGACTTCCCATCGACGTGTCGACCCATCTAGACAGCCTCTTCTCGAGTTGACAGGTTTTACCATGATGGCTTGACGAGCTTGCTCCAGCTTCACAAGAGTTCACAGGTTTCACCAGAGTGAGACTTGTAAACCAGAACTAGTGAAGCAACGAAAATGCAAAATGCCCCCCCTCGGCAAACTGCGCCTGATAATTGCACAAAAACTATGGGACAACCAAATCAAATAGTTCATATCTGCTCTACAAATCTAAACTGGAATCAGAAAACTCACTTCGGCCGCTTTCGTTCGATCGAATCCAAACATGCTGATGAGTATAGAAACGTTGTGAGGATGTCTGAAAAAAGTATTTCACTCGAAATTCACTTATTATATGAACAACAAATTTAGCATAGGAGCAGCGAAAGCCACTTGCATTACCTTCTCAGGAAGCCACTCTTATTAAAGACACTATATAGATTTGATGTTCAGACGCCTTCTTTGGACAAGGTAGTCCTGTCTGCGAGCATGGAGGATGTGCCTCTCACAGCATAAAATCGGTGGTAAGAGCATGAGCTGTTCGCAAACAAGGCGACGCCCGGCCCTTTGCGCAACGCAACAACCCAACTTTCATTTCTAAAGATCCTAGTGGTGTGGCTTGTGCGGCTGCTAGGCTTACCCCTCCCTGGTTGAGAGCGTGATAGGGAAAGAAGTGATACCAATACAATGGAAACACGCCGCCACGCCCTTTCATGCGCCTAGTGACGCATAACCTCGGCCTGCATAGGGTTCTATATGGGTTAGTTCGATAAGTCTGATTACTTTTTCGAGATTATACCGCATATGAGAAAAATGAACAAACCTCGACATGACATGACCAAACTCATTTTCGAGAAGAATTCGAATAGCCGTACGCATATTACAGTCGTTTTTGCGGACCAACATCTCCCGTAGAGAAACGGTAAACACAGCGGTTACCTGAAGGCAACCCCCAAACCATATAAAACTCTGCACATTATAATATACAAATTGGAAGAAACCAACATTTTTGTTCTTGAGCATTCTCATTTGCAACAGACGAGCTAAAACAGATTTTTCCTGAGGAGAATCTGAGGCATTTCCGTAATTCATGCCTACGAGAATCAACAGTTGGAGGGCTAATCGTTGGAGCTAAAAAGGTACGGAAATTATGGTTGTTCATTTATTAAGGTCATGCTTAACTGCACGTAGACAGCAAGGCTGTATTCATACTTTGCGTCAGCGTTTTGAGCAACTAGGAAAGTATGGATATCGATTTAGTGTTGTGAGTGTCGTACGCCAGCGCTTTCAGCGATTGCCCGCGAAAAGCTCAAACATACCCGCAAAACGCACAATATGCTAGGTCGATACATATACGCTCAAGACGCTCAAAAAGCTGCTATCGCTCAAAACGCCGACGAAGTATGAACGCATTCGAATAAGCATTTACCTTCACATGTTGTAGCCATCCATCAATTCGTTTGACCACATTGAATCGTACTTCTGGAAGTGCCATGAGAGGTGCTATTGCACGTAAGAAAAGCGCTGGTGTTGTATCGGCTCGCATTTCCCACCAAGGCATCAATGCACTAATAGCAATTGCGGCCATCTCCTCTTTCACGGCCGCAGATGGGAAACGATCGGTGGCAACCTGTAGGCAATAGATCTAAGAGTCGCGGTGAACACATTCTCAAAAAAAAATTCCGAGAGAAACATGACAAGGCGGGGTATTTTATGAAGGATAAACATACAGCGAGTCCTTCCGGGATGAAATCCAGGTCCATTTCCAGGTTACAGGCAGTAAGCATATCTTTTGTTGGATAGAGAGTGCCAAATCCTTTTACAATTTGTGTGGATATAAATGACGAATTTGGCTGAAATAAGCGATCGATAGCTTTCTCAAGTGCCAAAATCGCTTTTTGGGCGTTGTTCGGCTTGGGGGAGGGGGGGGGGGGTTGCACTTTGCTAGATCCTGCTTCCAGCACACTTTAGCAAACCTGTAAGCTTTAGTGAAGCTACAACATTATACGAGTGAGCCACTTTGGTTACAGGAACTTGCAGGTCATCACATGGTGGCCTCTACAAAAATCGCTGAGTACACTTTGCATCCCCTCCAAGCCGAACTCTGCCCTTTCTTTGAGTCTAAAGCTGAGACTACTCACCTTATTAACCCAATTCCGATCTCCCAAGGAGTCGTGCAGATATGCCGTCACATAGTAGGGGTCCCAGGTCGGTTGACCACTTGCTAAGGTTACCGCTAGTGCAGAAATCAAACCCTGTCTCTCAGAACACATAGGCTTCATACGACACATCAGGTTCAGCAAACATTTTTGCAAAGCAACATGCTGGAATATAGAACGATTTTATCATTCCAAAGAGTACTTAAAATAAGTTATTTTAAATAAATCAATGAGGTAGATGGTGCTTGGGGTGGGCTACTTGTAAGCGCTCGTCAGCATACCGAATCCCGCAAACTTTAGACATGCGATTACCGGATAACTTTGTCAATAGCCTACAAGCCTTGTGATAACCTGTAACACATCCTGTAAGCTCCTGCCAAACTTGTCAAAATGACTCGGCAAGGTTGGAAGAAAATGGGCAAGTGGCGTTCCAATGAAGCTAGCACCACTTCGCCAAGCTTGACAAACAGGGTACAGCATCGCTGTGTGAAACACACCGGGGGGGGGGTCGTATGTCCTTTGAGAGAAATTTGCCGCGTTAGGAAAAATTTTTCCCGATTGTTGACTTTTCGCGGTTTTTCCCGTTTCACATTATCTATACCCCCCCCTCGCTCGGCAGCAAAACTATTGAGTGAAAAACTGGTAGGAAGCTGGAAACTTGTAGGGAGGTGGTAGGTAGGTGTTTGGGAAGGGAAGGTAAGAGTCGCTTCGAGGCACACCTTTGGGGGGGGGGTCGTACTGACACCACCATTTCACACATCACGATGCTGTACCCTATTGACAAGACTTTACAGGGCACTTGACAGGAATTTACAGGACTTGCCGGGTAAGATACGATTGAGAAAAGACAAAAGCAAAAACAAGAACAAACGTTGAAAAGCCTTGTAGGTGTGGCCCACCCTTAGGGTAGCACCCAGTTAATATATAACGAATAAATTGTGGAATAATCGAACTAAATTAGCAAATTCTACAAATTGTTACAAGTATACCTGTATCTTTTCATGGTGTTCCTTAATGGTGAGAGCTGCGATAGTGAGCAGCTGATACTCGATATTAAACTTGCACTGATCACCTCTTTTATCAATGAATGTACGAAATGCTGCCGTGAGTAACCGGGCTAACTGAAAACCATAAACTATCCTAAAGGTCCTGTCACGAAAGCGAAACATTCACCTTATTCATCTTGCCTTGTTCGATAGACTCTTGTATCTGTGTAGCATAAGTTGCGAAGTCAATGGAAGTCATTTCACAAAAATCACGCCATGATTCATCCAGTGGAGGACGAGCACCGGCAGTAGGACTAGGCCCCGCTGAATACAATTTTATATGAAGTGACAACGATGCAATATTTTGCGAAGGGATTTTTGCATTCTTGCGCCAAGGGCCACCCAAACTACCCGTTTCACACAGTATACCCCATGGGGAGCCCCTCGCCAGAAAGCCACGCCCCCTTTGGCCCTATACTCTAAGAATTCTACTTAAACGTTTTTCACAGCTACATCAACATGTACACTGATGAATAGACTTTCATACAGTCATGCCATTCACTCCGCCCACGACTGTTCCGCCCACTTATTAGGGTACTTATTGAACACTTAGCTCCGCTTTAGCACTTTTTTTTCAATGTTATTCACCGACATCATTTTCAGTGCATTTTTTCGCAGAATTCATGCACACACCGAGTGTTTATAGACTTCCTACAATAAGCCCCACTCCTGTAGTAAACTAGTTCATATCTTCAGAAGGAGACCTGTCTGTGGTCTTTCCTTTTTGAGGATATTGTCTGCATGACAGTGTGATGCCATACAAACGAATTTCGATCGTTTTTTCTCAGGGGTCAATTTTTCCGATAGGGGTCGTATTTGAGCTCGAGAAAAATTTATTTTGATAGTGGATTATTTCTCATCACTTCATGGACGTTGTGAAGGGAGGGGGTCGTATTTGATCATTTTTGGGAGGGGGAGCCGTATTTACGTTTTGGCGTTGTGGGAGTGGCGCTTGACTTTTGCTGAGTCGTCCATTTTCATTCGTAACTTTCTTTCTTTGTCCCCGTCGACGCCCAATCCATTCGATCAGGAACGGACAGAGGGCTGGGGGGGGGGTCCGTACCTAGGGCCCAAAAAAAGGAGGGGCGGCGGGGTCGTATGTGAGTCGACTAAAATCCCAATCCAATACTGCCTGAAATCTGACGGCGAGGCTGTGTCAGTTAGCGGCAGATGAGTCACCCGTAGCTGCGCTTCCTACCAATGAGCGCCTGGATTAGAAACACAACCAACTACGCAGAAAACTATCGGGGCGGCTCAATCCAGAGCCCCGTGACTCTCCACGCGATTGCTCAATCTCCGCCCAGGCCTCCTTTTCTACAGGCAGTTTCAGCATACTACGACCGGCCCAGGACTTATTGCGCCTGCCCGCGGTTTAGCTGACATTCTTAGTTCCCGAGAAAACTAAGGTGACCCTGGCGAATAGCATCGTAGCCGAACATATTTCGAGTTGGAAATTCGCTCAAAATACGGACTGAATCTCATAAAATTGAGCAAGAACGGGTTGGACAGCTCTAGGAACTACATTCAGAAGAGTTTGAACCACTAATTTCGCAACAAAAAAGCAACTAACTCGATGCGCTGCCAATCGAAGTAGACGAAGACGACGCCGCGGGGAAAACTGTCTGAAAAGATTGTCACGCTTAAAGGAAAGATTTTAAATTGAAAATTTATCAAAACTCCAATGTATGGTGCAAAACACCAGCTTGCAAGCTTTAGGAAAGAGTTATAAGTAAAAGCTTGCAAAAAGCCAGATCAAAGCGAATTTGCCTACAATTTAAAGTGATCTCGACATTTTTTCAAGGAATTTTGCTCAAGTAGCAATCATTTACTGTACCTCACCTTCTGTATTGGTTTCACAGGTTTGGTGGCCAAGCTTTTCGGAGCCAGCACTCCAGAGGGAACGCTTTTCAACAATCCCTTCGTTTTTACTTTCGGTTTCAAGGGAATCATCCTGCAAGAAATTAAGAGTTGAGTGAAATTTTGGCCAGCATTCATGACGGCAGCACCCCGGTAAAAGATAACGAGAGCTACGAAGCACTTCGGAGAAAATATAACAATTCTACGTGTACGCTTAAATCTGAGTAACTAATTTAAGCTCCAAGGGGGAAAATGGCCGGAACATACAAACAACAAACAAACAACATACAAAGAAAGAATGGTAGAAAGGTTTAATATGATGCCACAGATTTGCACCAAAATGCCCCTTTGAAATAATAAAGCAAGCATAAAACAGAAGCGGAGAAGAAGTCGTGCAAACATTTAACAAGCCTGCAACACGGTATAAATAAGATTCTGTGGTTGCACTGTAAGCAAAGCATACCGTATACCCGCGCAAGGCAGGCTACAGCAACGTCGGTAGAACATTGTACTTCCTCTCACTGGTTTTTGTGAAATACGACTCTCTCCCCAAATTTGTAATCTTCCTATACCCATCGCAGTTACCATATGGCTAATTTTTTTCAAATTCTTGCCACTTCCCCGAAATTTTCCGAAATGTTTGGCTCGACCCTCTCTAAAATTCTGCCCTAGAGAGCTCGGGCGAGAAGGGGGGGGGGGGGGGTAGCACAGTTGAAACGGGAAAAGACCGCGAAAATTCAGCAACCAGAAATTTGTTTCCGCTCGCGAAAAAATTTTCCCTTGCGACCAGTTACGAGCCCCTCTCAAAGCCAGCGTGCAACACTGCCCTGCGGGAGGGGCGGGGGAGAGGGGAAATCCCATTAGGCCATCGTACTTAGTAGGTGGGGATGGGGAAAGGCGTATCTGGTCTTGACAGAAATCCGACTTCGCCGATTCTTTCTTCTTCCGATTTGTGAGGACAGTGAGGAAGGGAGGGCGCGCCAAATATCGCGCGCCCTCCCTTCCTCACTGCCGTAGTCCGGAGCAGCCGCAAGCAAAACTGACGACCTTCTTCACCACCCCCCGAATAAAACCCGAAAAGTGGTACGAAGTTGGGAAATCTGGAAGCACGACAAGGAGGGTGGGGGGGTCACCAGTAAAGCGAGGCTGCTGTACCGCGAGCCGAAGAGACCGTTTTGAAGGATACCGCTGCATCTGGCGGTAACGTGCCACGGAACCATGCACACGCCTAGCTATAGCCAAACGTGCTACTTGTCTGAATCTCTTACGTGTGGTTGTTCTCTATACTTGGCCGCGATAAGCAGCTTGCCTTCATGTTGTTCGCTGCGGGACCCGACATCGACACACATGCTGCACGTTGTGGACTTCGGGTGAAAACCATGGCACATCGTTGTTGGGGAATCCCCAACAGGGAGGTCGTATTTGGGCTGAGAAAAATTTATTTTGATAGTTGATTTTTCTCGCTTCACGGACGTTGTAAAAGGGGGGGGGTCGTACTTCGTTCATTGTTATTGAGGGGGGGCGTATTTACTTTCTGTTTACTTTTTAGCCTTCTGGGAGCGATGGTTGACTTTTCGTGATTTTCCCTGTTTCGTATGTACTATATACGCCCTTCGACAGCAGAATTTCTGGGTGAAAGTGGGGAAATGCTCGGGGAATTTTGGAAAAGTGGCAGGAAGTTGGGGCAAAGAATATTGGCTGAAGGAAGGGGTTGCATTTTTCTCGCGGTTTTTCCCGTTTCACATTGTTATTTACCCCCCCCCCCCCCCCCCTTCTTCCTCCGCTCGACAACTCGTGAGGAGGATAGAGAGGGCCGGAGGGGGGTCGTACCACTCCCCCATTCGCCCCCCCCAAAAAAAGGGGGGGGGGAGAGGGTCATACGGATTCGACCAAAATCCCAAGCCAATGATGTGTCCTGGTCGGAACTCAATCATATCTATCTTTCAATATGCTCCAGCTTCATTTGCGCGCGCATTGTAGTGATGAAAGTGGCACATTTTCTCAGCTGCGACCAATCCACCTCACTCAAGACAAATAACCGCCTCCCAGTTACACTCCCAGCGATAGAGTAGGCGTGGCTGCGCACCTTACGTGAACATGGGTAGGGTGCCTTGCTCGCGGGATCTTTCCATTTTGTACATGTGTTGTCCTTTTTGTAATGAGCAAAGTCATGGTTGCAGCTGCTCTGACAATGAGACTGCAACATCCTCAGAAGCGCACCTGCGTCACGTTTAAAGGCACGATCCGCGATCAGGTATAGAAGTTGAAAATATGGCGTCAGAAGGGTGTTGTGATCCGCGTCGAACAACGTCTCGCGGCAAGCAGTCTAAGGGGCAGGCGCTTTAGCGCAATATGAGTTTAGTGACGCCTCCTTTTTTCCAGTGACTCCGCCTCCAGACTCCGCCTTCAAGGCCCGCCTTTCAGTGAAAAACGAAGCTGCAGGACGAAAAAGCATGAAAATCGTCACTTGTACGGTCGTAGAGTTCTTATCGGGGAATCAGCTGTGCGGATGAGGGCGTCGATTGAAGATGAAGTTAATTGGGCACGTAAAGAACTGGGGTCGAACTGGGGTTCTATCCAGGGCAGTTGGCATGTTTTTTTCTGCATTTTTTCTTCACTATTAAATTACTTAGCACCTTGTCGTATAGATGCTAACCTAAGTCCTAGTCCACTATCTGTGTTGGAGAATAATCGCGGGCATAGCCTTTCAATGAAGTACGCAGCCACAGACTCTCCATCTCTGGGATATGGAGTGTACTACTAGGTGAGTGAATTTTCGCGATGGGAAACACTTTTTGGACAACCTCTAGTGTGCCACTTTCGACGCTTAGCCCGCATAAACCTTGTCACAGGTCTGTTAACTACTGATCTCACCAAATACGACTCTCGCCCTTCTAAGGGGCCAGATACGACCCCCTCCCCTCGTTGAGGACTCAAGGGATGCTTGACCCTGTTTCCGCGGCATAATCACAGGGCACATTTGTGTACAGCGAGGTGACGTCAAGGTCACGCCTCGACAATTCACGGTCCGATGATTTTGCCTCCCTTTGAGGAACTCGAAATTTTCATGGAGGCAGCTGGGAAATTGTCAGGCTCTAGCTCGACTGGAATGGGAAGGATACCAAGACAGATCAGTCTCTCTGAGAATCGCCATGCCTTCGACTTTGGAGGCACGTTCCGCGATAAACTAATGCTATGACCTCTGAATGTGTCAGATGATCCGGGACGCGATTGTGAAGGCTGTGCTTTATTCAAAGAATGAAAACTTGCAACAATTCCGGTGGACGCTGAACAACTAGGCCCATGGGCACCTTAAGGCCCATGGGCACCTTTTAAGTGCATGGCGACCAAAACTGACTGCTAGCTACTGGCTAGAAGCCACTATACCATCTCTCGCTATTACAAATGGTGAGAGTGAGTTTATGAGGTAAAAGAGCTGATATCGTTCTGATACAACGAGTGGAAATTCACACAAACACGCCTTCTCTTCACTGTATGAACGTACAAGTTAGGATCGGCATAGATGCCTACACAGGGCATGTTGGACGTTTTTTCCTGCTTTTTTTTTCCCAAAGATCAGTCACCTGGCACTTTGTCATTCGTATTTGAACTGCATTACTCGCCATCTGCTGTCTCGGGCTTCGCTTAAAGGCAGTTGGCGCGATAATTTGATACCCGGTCTAAACTACTATCAGGTGCTATATGGTAGGAAAATGGCGACAAAACGAAGTGAAACGGTCAAAAACCTGTGAAGAAAAGCCTTCGTTCTTAATAATCGGAAAGCAGTTTCGGACGAGTTTCCCGTAGGCATCTTGCCAATAACCGCTACGGTAGGTACGGCTGCACGTATGTACTCATATATCATGCAGCACCGCAGCCGCTTCATATCAATCCCTTCGCTTCATAATACTCAGCAAATGAAGGAATACGAGCATCAGGTACGGTCGTCCATATGTGGGCGGGGCGGGTCGGCATGTTGAAGCTTCATAGGGCACTTATAAGGGCACCTTCCTTGGAAAAGGCGCTACGCAGCGCCTGCTCAGGGAATTCCGTCGTGTTAGGTGTACTAACGATAACTCGTCTTAGGGATTTATCGTATCAACTGCCTTTAAGTAAGTGAGGGTACCACGTCGACAGTATTTACCCCTTTTGGCCAAATACTCGAACTGACAGATGTTTTGACAGAAACTTTTTGTCCGCTGGTTGATCGGCTAGAACTTTACTTCAGGGCTTGACCCTCTGGAGACGAATATGACGTAATCGGGGCTCAACAGCCTGCCGCTTGCTCCAAAAAAAGAGACGCCACATTTGTGGGGAGCGTCTTCTCAAGGGATTTTTTTGCTCGAGGCATTTTGCACTTTCGCTACTTCCCATCGATGTGCCGACCTGTCTAGGAGTCTCTTCTCGAGCTGACAGGTTTTACCATGATGGCTAGATGAGCTTGCTCCAGCTTCACAAGAGTTCACAGGTTTCGCCAGAGTGAGACTTGTAAACCGGAACTAAGGAAGCAATAATAGCAGAATGCCCCCTCCCGTCGTCAAACTGCGCCTATATTTCGACAGCTTTTCGATAGCTTAAAACGTTTGGATCACGGGCGCTGCTGTCAAAACTACCTGTGAAGCTAGCGCTACGTAGCTCTACAGGTAGTTTCGGATTCCGGGCTCTGACATATTGGCACTGTTCACCTGGGGACTGGACCAATTTTTTCCCCTTGGCATTCTCATATTAAGGGACCTGATTTCGTGATCAGGAGGTCAAACTACCCCCGGAAGCAAAGTTGTGGCAATCTAATCCAGGAAGTGATTTTCCTCTTGGCTGCACACAGCTATGTACTTCCAATCGATGCGTTCATTGCTTTACAAGAGTTGGCAGGTATTCTCACAAGAGTTGACAAGTGGTCCCTACAAACCTTGACCGGTATCACTTCATGGCCTGAAAAGATTTCACTGGTCCCTACTTGGTGACTCGACAACTCGATGGAAAGACAGTGCTGATGCCTTCCACCCCCCCCCCCCCCCCCGAATGTTTTATCTCAAAGGCTTTCTCTACGTGTGTTCCTCCTCCTGGGTGCTCTTTATGAGGTCCCTTTTCGCCGAATCAGTGACTTGGTCATTTGAAGTTGAGTGGTTTTTCAACTTTCCATACCATTCTTTTCAACGATAAAAATACCCCCTGGACACGTTTTTAAGGGGCTGTTCGGCTCAGGGGTAGCGTTTTGCACTAACGCTAGTTCCTTTGCTGTAAACTATATGGTTTTTTCGTCTCTCATTACCTGTCTTCATATTCTATATCACTGCCCTTTAAAACACATGTGCCTGCCCATAATCTGCATGTCATTGTCGTCGGCGGCTACGGTAATTGCTTTGAGGGGGGTGGCTACGAGAGGCGGCACGCCCCCACAGCGCTCGTAAAAACACCTTGTTGCGCAGCCGCTTTGCACCTGCCCTCTAGCCTAACCTCTGCCATTCGAGAAATATTGCCCTAAAAGCATTCGGTGGCTAACGGTCATGCGATTAATAATCGCGCTATTACCGATCTACCTCGTCCAAGCCCATAGAAGTAAGTAAAATTCCGGTCCCTCTTTTCATGGCAGCTTTACCTTGTTCTTATTTCTTACAAAGAGCTGATGACTTTCACCTAAGGCGCTGTTCGGCTTGGGAGGGGGGAGCATTTTGCACTTTTGCTAGTTCTTTTAGTTGTTTCATTTCAACTAAAAGGTATTACTTTACTCACCTCTAAACTCCTGTGAAGCTGCGAAGCGGTACCAGAGAGTCACTGTTCACAGGATTTTACAAGTATTTACAAGATTACCTGTTCAAGCTTAGCTAGGTACCATTAGGTGCCCCCACTAAGCCGAACTGCGCCGTAAATCGATTTTTGGTTGATGTTTAATTTTCAAGGTGGACTTTTTTCTTTTCGACGTGATTTTGTCTCTTTATGTCTCCATTTTTTTGCTTGCTATTGATAGTTTAAACAACTACTTTACTTTATTACTTTGTTTGCTTTGTTTGGCTTGGCTAGGGTTTTTGGAACGATGTGATGAAAGCCTTGTCATTTGAGGGCTGTGTGAGTCCGAGGGGACGTGCAGGCAGTGTGCCGATTCACGATATTCCTACTATCGGTGCAATCTACAGGTAGGTGCAATTCTTCTATGTGCTTGCCTATTTATATTAATTCTTTCAATAAAAGGGAAGTAAAAACTAGGCGCTGTTCGACTTGAGAGGGGCAACTGGCACTTTTGGTAGACCCTTTTGCCACTTAGTTTCAAACAACAGTTGCCATTTTGGCGAGACCTGTGAATGCTGCGAAGGATATGTCTACCAATCGGCTTACCGCAATTTACAGGTTTTCACAAGATGAGCTGTACAAAAAGCTTAGCTGGCTGACATTCGCTGCCCCACCAAGCCAAATTGCGCCCATAACATCTTTCTCAGTTCTGATTCCTTTGTAGTTGTAGCTACATTTGAGCAAATCAGAAAACTACTGTAAAGTTAAGATTTTTCGTTTGCGCTATATGTTTTCAGGAAGATTGCTTCATCGGCGAAGTATGCGATCGTGGATTCTGTTGCCCACATATCCGGCCCATTATCGGTCTACAGAATGAAAGTAAGAACAGATCCAGTACAGATTGGTGCTTCGTTGAGCGCTAGAAAGTGAACACTCTCTGTTGACGATGCCTAAAGACACAACAAGCTACTGGGAACGGCACCCTCTTTGGAATTGTTGGCTGTAGATTAATGTCTGAAATCCTATCCTTATCCCTGTTCCGTCCTTATCCCAAGGTAAAAGGGCGGGGTGGGACCAGTACTTGTCTCGGCTTTCCCCGAAGGAATCTATGATACTCAGTATTCTTCTGAAGAGACGGGTAAAGGAAATAGCTTTCTGTATCTTCCGGTGTCTCCCGCATTACAGGCAGGACACGTACATTGGGAATCCACATGGAGGGAGTTATTTGGCCACTGGAGGGAGGGAGGGGGTAGGGGTGGTCGCGTCGGGTCGATAAAGAGAGGAAATGCTTTACAGCTCTCTCGACGGCTGTTTTGTGGGGAGGAAAAACAAGAGTTTTCTCGAACAACTGAGAAAAGTGGTAGGAAGTAAGGGAAAAATTAAGGCGATATGAGGATGAAGGATGGGGAGGAAGGAGGGTTCGTACCAGTAGAGGAAATTTTGAGGGGAGGGGAGTCGTATTTTGCAAACATTCACCCCAACGGGAGAACGTGCCCTTTTATAAGGCAGTGATAGCCAGTGGAGAAGGGTGTGGGCGCAGTTCGAATCAGGAGGTTGGCTTCTGCAGCTTCCGTTGCTTTCCACTGTCTTTAGATTAGTGGATTTTTGTGAAGCCAGTCAGAGCTTGTGGAAGCTACTTGACAGCTCTTGGAAAGACTACCTGTTGACTCTTGTGAAGCAATGAACACGAAAACGGGAAGCGGCGGGAGCGCATAATGCCCCCCTCCTGCCTAATCGCACTGCGCAGGCTGTGTCTGTTGCCAACTGCGGAAATCTGCTTACTGTCTTACTCATTTAGCTTTTTAACAGCTTCTTAACCTTTCCCGAAATAAAAGTTTGAGTTCATAGATGTTGCCGAAGCTTTCTAACAGAAGAGTGATATAATTGCCATCGATCGATATCAATTACTGCCTCAATTAGCTACTAATTGCATGCTATAGCACCACGTATCACTCAACGCACCGCATATAACCCACCGTTCATCGGGACGAACTCATCCGTCGATGCGGACGATTTTTGTCCGGACGGTTCTGGATGGACCAGACATTGCCGGCTTGACGATGAGTGCAACACTAAAATGGAAATGTGCGCCGAAGGAAAATGCTGTGCAAGTGAGTTGACCTTCCAGGTCTACTAGTTTTTTTAATTCAAAAATGTCCTTTATTCTCGAATTCGGCTTGATTCCCGAATAATTTCTCGATCTGAGCTTCCTTTGAAGAAACATGCCTTTTTCTCCTTTCCAAATGCTTTTCTTCCACCTTTCCAGAACGAGTCCTTCGCTCAAAGCTCAATTGATCGCTGTCATAGCGTTTCATCAGTGAATTGAGGCTTCTGCCTTCCCAGAATCATCATAAAGGAATGGGGTTGATTCGGAGTCCAGCCTCTGAGGAAGGGGAAACTTGCTGCAATCGTTTATCTAGTGGCGTACTGCTGCATCAGTGTTTTTTCTATCAATTGCTCGCACATTTCCGATTTGGAGAGAGATGCATGGCGCAATCCGAGCACTCTGTCTCTTAACTAGTGTTCTCTTTCTGGCATAGTTCTCTCATAAGTGATACTTTATTTCGTTTAATGTCAGATTGTAGCAAGCCTCCGCAATCTATAAAGTGGTTTCGTGGGCGAAGGTGTTCTAAGGGCACGTCCCCCCTGCTGGGGAAAAATTTCACAAAATACGATCATCTCAAAATTCGCTCC